GGAGGTTAGGTAAGAAGCTGGTGGGGAGGTGCTGGTGGCATTCCCCAAGCAGGGCAGCTGTATCACTGGGACACAGTCCTGGCCTATGGATGTTTCCCAGCCATACTCTTCCTACATTCCAGCCTCTTCTCCTTCCCCAGACCCCAGCAGGTTTCCTCCAGGGCAGACAGCCCTGACCTGGAGCCTGTGGTAGAAGGAGAGCAGAAGAAGTCCCCAGCCCGCCGACCTGAGGAGGAGAAGGAACCCCAGCGTTTGCTGGTGCCTGACATCCAGGAGATCCGAGTCAGGTAGGAGTGACTGGGGCAGCCAACGAGGGGAGTGCCTATGGGCAGGTGGTACCATGCCCTACCATTGCCACCTCCTCGTGGTCTGTATCCCACTCTGACCCTGGTCCCTTCTGCAGCCCCATCGTCTCCAAAAAGGGCTACCTGCACTTCCTGGAGCCCCACACCAATGGGTGGGTGAAGCGCTTCGTGGTGGTTCGGCGCCCGTACGTCTACATCTACAACTCAGACAAGGATGCAGTTGAGAGGGCCATCCTCAACCTCTCCAAGGCCCAGGTGGAGTACAGTGAGGACCAGCAGGCCATGCTCAAGGTAGGCACCGGGAGCCAGCCCCGCTCCATGCACCCCCTTGAGCAAGAGACTCAGCCCCGGCTCTCCCTCGGCAGACCCCGAACACGTTTGCGGTGTGCACGGAGCACAGGGGCATCCTGCTGCAGGCGAGCAGTGACAAAGACATGCACGACTGGCTCTACGCCTTCAACCCTCTCCTGGCTGGATCCATAAGGTACCGGGCACAGGGGGGGAAGGAGGGTGCAGAGAAGCCATTGGTGGGGGTCTGCAGGTAGCCAAGCATGCTCCCTACCCTGCTCCCAGTGCTCTCCCTGATGCAGCCCCCAGACGGGTGTGGGGAGCATCTCCTTTACAGACCTGTGCCCAGACAGGCTGTCAGGTGGCAAAACTTGGAACATATTGATTTTGCTTTCAGCTCCTCCACTTTTAAATGCTTCAGTCTAGGGCCAGATCTCAGCTGGTACAGAAGCACTGTTATGCTGAGCTCAAAGCAACATCCATGCCTGGTGGTAGGGATACTGGCCTGTCGCTGTTGTTGAGACTGTCTCACAGAGTTTTTGAGACTGTTAAGGAAACCTTCCTATCTAACCATCCAGGAGCCACTCTGGAAGTCACACCTGCACCACCTGAGCTGGGACTGAGACCCCTTTGCAGTGGGAGGTCCCAGTGAGCTGAAAGTGGCCTTGCTTCACTCTCACTCACCGCACTCACAGTCAGACAAGCTTTCCTCACAGGCTCGGTCACCGGTTTCTCATAGCAGAATCTCAGACATCTCGATCCTTAAAATAATTTAATCATGATGCAATAACAAAACAGCAGCTGGAGCTGGGTGCCTCCAAGGAGGGACCCCGAACAAAGGAAACCCTGGGCTTTTATACCCCTTCAGTCTAACGGCATGAAAGTCTGGGTTCCTCAGCTCCTCCTGTGTGTGTCAGTGTCCCTCACTCACCTTGGCCACAGGTCCCTGTGTCCTTTGTTATGCAAAGGGTCAGCAGTTCACAGCCTCTCACCCCAGAGCTCAACCTGCAGCTTGAACTGCAGCTGCACACAGAGCTACCTGCACTAAATGTATTCATTCCTCAACAAGACCATCTCATGGAGTTCTTGAGAGCGTCTTAAGTGGCAGGTCTAGGGGAGTAGGAGTAAATGCGCAGAAATGTGCAAGCTCTGGCTAAAGACATTAACTCTGCGTCCCTCCAGTTCTGTCTGGATTCAAGCATCAGCCTGGAGGCAGGACACTAAACCTGGGAGTCCACACCTCTCCTTGTCCACATCTCCAACACCTTTTGTCCCTTGTTTTCCAAATCAGATCCAAGCTGTCCAGAAGGAGAACAGCCCAGATGAGAATCTAACCTGAAAAACACCTTCCACCTCATCCGTCTGCCAACAGGATCAAGATAGCTGATTCTGTCTGAAGACTCCCCATGTTAATGTCTGATCTCTCACACCATCTGCTGCCCCAGCTCTCTGCTCCATGGAAGGATCTGTCTCGACTCACACCTTCACAGGAGAAACTCACTTCCGTTTGTAGCTGCAAAAGCCTGGACCTGCCTGGGCAGGATTCCTTGTGCTCGTGCCATCTTCTGCCTGTCCTCCCATGGGTGACCTTCATATCACACCATCTAACACTCCAAAAAGGTCCCTATCAGAGGGGAGGGAGTGAGGAGGGTAGTTTTGGCTAAAAGCTGGTCTTTGATCTACAGAGGTGGGAATTCAGTAAAGCTCAGAGGTGGGAGAGCAGGAGGAATTGCCCCCAGGCAAAGGGAAAGTGGTAGTTTAGGACTTCCTAATTAACTGATATTTCTGCAAGAGACAGCAGACTAAGATCAGGTGTCAGTACTCTAAGATTATATTTATAAAGTATTTATTTCTATTTACATCACAAAAATCCCATAAATTGAGTCCTGGTCCCTGGCCAATGCCTCCCCCAGACAAGGGAGAGCCTTGGTGGTGGGCCGGGGAGATGCCTTCCCCAGTACATCCCTGGCTTGTGCCCAGTGGCAGCGGAGCTCTTGCCCTTGCTCCCTGCCCTTCCCCAACCATCTGCTTTGCCCTCCCCTGCAGCTTAAACAACTTCTCCTCCGAGCGGTGGCCGGACAGCCCACCTAAAGAAGGCAATTCCTACCCGCCCATCTACCTCTGGAAGGGAGGAGCCTGCTGTCTCAGCTGGCCAAGGCACCCACATCCATGCAGATGGGTCACCGCACTTTCAAGCTTGGTCCTACCAGAGGGAAAAGGAGAGCTCTGGGAATGGCTCTGCCTGCCACCCTGTGCTGGGCTACCCTTTCCAACCAAAAGAACACGGGCCACCTCCACTATCCCAGCCCAGGTGTCTTGTCCAAAGGGATTTCCCACTCTTAGGGCAGGATGCCAAGGGTCCCATCCCTGCAGGGAGCGTGGAGGTTCAGGTGGAATGGGAAAATTCTCCAGGAGCTGGGGCTAGGAATGACCATCCCAACGAACAGGATCCTCGTTGCCCTTCCCCAAAAGGGCTTGCACACCCCTTCTCCTCCCAACAGGACGACAGGCTCAAAGCAGGCCAGAGGGGCAGGGGAGAGGCTGGCCTGGGTGTGTCGGGGTGGGGCTTCTTTTTTCTGTTGTATCTGGTGTTTTCTCACTCCTCTTCCTCTGCTGCAGAAGTGAACACCCACCTCCCCTCCCCCTGCCTCCATCAGCACGTTAATCGGGGGGCTTCCCGTGTCAGAGGTGTCTTTGCTGAAAAGACCTTCTCCAGCCATCACTGCTTCCCACCTCCTCCAGCAGCAGCTCTCCCTCTCCTCCTTCTCCTGCCTCTCACCCATGGGTAGATGTTTTCATTCAGGGCTTCCCGAGTGGCCAGTGGTCCAGCACAGCTCCAGGCAGGAAGGAGAGCATCTCCCAGGCACCCCTCCGGCTTTGCTGTCCCTCGTCCAGCACGGCTGTGCCCTGGCTCTGCCGCACTCCCTGCGCTGTCTGTGGGGTGTGTGTGTGTGTGTGTGTGTGTGCGTGTGTTGGACGTGCTGCTGTCTTCTCGTTACACTTGTGTTGTGGGGGGCACGGACAGGTAGGGACGTCGCAGGTGGGCTGAGGCTTGCACGGGCCCCCTCACTGCATGTCAGGCGCCCTTTAGCCTGGGTTTCACATCGCAGAAAGGGCTTGGGGATTCTTCTTGAGCACATGCTAGTTCTGCCTGGCCTCACCACAGCTCCTTGGGCATCTCACCCCATTGCTACAGCCCAAAGCTGCAGTGGGGCTGCTCCTCTCAGCCCTGCTCTCCCACCCAGGACACGCTCCCCATCAAACTGGGCTATTTTCCTCCCTGTGATCCATTTTAGAGACCTGGAGCCCAACTCATGCCCTTTATGGAGGAAGAGGTGCCAGCCCAGAGGCACAGAGAGGCTGGGCTGGGGCAATGCAGGGCTCCAGGCTGTGACATCCTGGCTCCCATGCCCTGGACAAGGACTAGTTGGTACCATCCTAAATTTCAATGTAAGGGGCTAAGGATGGCAACAGTGGGTGCCTGAGGGGCAAGGGGAGGCTCTTCCAGCGTGGAGGCAGCTTCTGGCAGAGACAGGACCTGTGTCTGTCAGGGACCAGACACAGGTTCACTGGTCAGGGCCAGGCCGTGCTGCCTGTGCCACAGGCAAGATGCAGCCAGGGGAAGGGCTTCCTCTAGCCAGAGCCGAACCGTGCCTGAGGCCAGCAAACCTGCAGAGCAGACGGCTCGGCTGGGGGTCGGGGCCAAAGGAGAAAGGGCTGCCCGCCAGATGCTGCCGCGCCTGTCCCCGGCACAAGGGCCACCCCTGCCGTCTAACCAGCCGCACTCTGGCCAGCACCGCGCTCCTGGTCAGGACCCTGGCACCCATCCCCTCCACCACCACCGCCCCGGGACAAGGAACACAAAACGGAGGTTTAGGCACGACGGGGAGCCCCACCGGAAAGGAAACTCCACAGGGCAGCGGTGGCACGGAAGGCGGGCACCGGCGGGCAGGCCGGGCCTGAGGAGTAGGAGGGAGGGAGGGAGGCCGCACTGCCCGCCCTGCGGTTCCCGCCGGGGTGGGCGGTGGGGGTGGCGGTACCGCGGGTCCCGGCCGTCCGTGCGCACGTGAGGCTTGTTCGGTTCTGAAATAAATGTGGCATTTAACGCAAATCCCGTGCGGCTGAGGCTCCTCACTGCGGCCGGCGGGGGAGGGGAGGGAGATGGGGCGGGGCCGCGGCGGGCCGGAGGGAGAGCCGGAGCACCGACCGGCAGCACGGCAGCTCTGACCGGCGGCACCGACCGGCGGCACGGCAGCTCTGACCGGCGGCTCGGCCCCGCTCGCGACCGGCCGAGGCGGCCCCCACTCTGCGGCCCCGCGGTGGCCTCTGGCGCGCGCGCGCCCCGTGGGCGGGGCCCGTGACGTCCCTTCCGCTGCCGCCCCGCCGCGCCGCGCGCCCACTTCCGGCGCCGGAGCGGGCGCCGATCGGCGCCGCGGGGCTTTGGCGGCGGCGGGAGCGGCGGCGATGGATTTGTTCGGGGACCTGCCCGAGCCCGGCGGCGCCGCGGGTGAGGCCGCGACCCGCGCGGGGCCGCGCCGCCCTCCGGCCCTGCCCGGGCCCGGCCCGTGGCCGCGCCTGGGCCCGGCCTGACAGGCCGCGGGCCCCGCCGGGCCTGCTGCAGCTCGGCCCTGGGTAACGGGACTCCTGCAGGGAGCCTGAGGGGCGAAGGGGAGGGTGAGGGGGTGGGTTAAATATCACTAGAGAAATTGCAGGGTTTGAGGTTTTTTGGTGGTTTTCTTTTCACTTGGAACTCGGTCCCCTGCGGTTTAGACCGTGTTGGAGCCTTTTCCTTCCCCGTACTGCTGACGAGCGTTAAGATGAGCTCAGTGGATTGCTAGCAAAAAAAAAAAAAAAAAAAAAAAAAAGGCTGTTTTCTAGACAAAAGTTCATCTTAGCCCCAGGCTAAGGTTGTTTTCCTTGTGTAGCAGCTGTCAAAGTTTGAGATGGGGAAAAAGGTAGCCCAGGCTCTCCTGGTTTACCCCACCTGTGCTCGCTGGGGGGGGGGGGCAGTCCTTCCAAAAACCACCCCCAAAGTGCCTGCAATGGGTCCTGACTCTGCCCCGGTGCCTCGCAGGGAAAGATGTCCAGAAAGGGCCTCTGCTCTTTGAGGATCTCCCGCCATCCAGCAGTGCCGACTCAGGTATGGGTGCTCTGTTCCTGCCATTACTTTGGCTTTCCATGTTTTCTGCACCAGCATCTCTTTGAGATGAAACCTGTGTAAACCCTGTTGTTTGTCAAACAGGCTTAAGATAGTGGGGTTATCAGTACTGGTGTGCAGACCAGCTGCATCCTGTATGGTTTTAAAACCGGGGTGTTATAGATGTTCCACTTGTATTCTGTAAAACGTTTCATAGAAATGTTCCCTGAAACAAATGCTTACATTTGTTAAATATCACTGTTGTTAAATATCAGGCCTAGGTTTGCCTGACCATCCAGTGAGACAAGTAGAAGTTTGGCTCGCTTTGGTAAACTGACATAATTTGTGTACCTCAGGAGGGACAGATATGGAGCATTGTTCCCTCGAAGAGACAAAGGTATTTAGTTCTTTCTGCCTTTTTCTTGTGCTCCAGGAAAAGGAGGCTCTTTGCTCTTTGATGATCTCCCACCAGCCAGCAGTGGTGACCCAGGTAAGGAGCTGTGTCACTCACCAGCCTCTGCTGAGCCACCCTTCTCAGGAAAGCCCACGATGCAGCCTGTTGTGTTGGACACACAGCAAGTTAACCTGGTGTCCGGGTCAGCTGACACTGGTCGTGGCAATCTGTTTGTGCCCCAGTTGTTTAAATCAGAATTCTGGCTCTGAAAAAGTAAAGTTAGGCCTGTTTCCAGAAGTACATCCCTGTCCTTTGGGGACCCCCCCATTGTCTGTCTGAAAGCTCCCTGTTTTGGGAGGGAAGGTATGTGTGTGCCCTGGTGCTGCCATTGCCCTGGCTACATTTCTACTGTGGGCACAGGCTGCCTCCTTGTTCCTTGCTGAAAATGGCTTCAAACCCAGACTCCTGCTCTGTCAAGGCTTTCTGCATGCAGCCATGTGTTTGCTTTCATCTGGGAGGAGGCAAGCTAATTCACTATACTGTGTGAGACTAAATCTTCAGAAAGAAAAGGCCAGAGTTCTGACATCATGGGAATCAGGTTTCGCTTGCTAGCTTTAATTTGTAACCTGCCTTTTGAACCACCTAACAAATATGCACATTCAGAGTAATAAAATGTTTCTTTGCATTGTTGTGGGCAGAGTTTATAGCGAAAAATAATAACAATAATAAATAAATTAGAAGTATTCCAACCTGTATTGTTAACTTCCTGAGCAATTAACCCCCAAAAAAGGCTGGTAGCTAAGAAAAAAACCAACCTATGAGTTGTTGGGGAGAATCAAAGAGTCTGCCAGACAAACACAGCTGTCCTGTGTCTGAGGTGGAGTCACACAGCGTGAAGTGGTAAAATCAGCACTCCCTGGGTTGGGCAGCAATGTGTGCCATGGGTTGTACACACAGAGGGAAGCTCTGTGTGTGCATTTGTGGTTGGTTAGGGTTCTTGTTCTGGGCACTTAATGCTGTGTGTGTGGGCTGAGTGTGCTTTGGTATAAAAGGACTTGCTGCTGAATTTATGCAAGTAAAACAGAGCTGGAACGTTTCAGCCACCTGCATTTTTGCTTTCTTTCAGCCTCCAGTGCTACTGAGCAAGTCTCATCAGCAGGGAGCCAAGAGAAAGGGCAGAAGAGAAAGTCCTTGGAGGAGGATGAAGAGAAGAATGGCAGGGAAGAACTTGTGGAAAAGAAAGTTTGTAAAGGTTTTCAGACAATTTGAAAACGAATGTACTCAATTTGTACTTTTAGCATTGGGCTGAGTAAGTCCAGAACAAAGCTAAGCTTTGGTTCTTCAGTCCGCTTGCCCTTTCACTCTCTTGTGGGGAACAAACTGCTGCAGGGCTCTGTGGAAGCTGCTCAAGCTTCCTGGCACTCTCTGCCTTCTTCGCCTGGGCCTCCCTACCATCCCTGCTGAAGTAGGAGGAGCTGAGCAGCAGGCACCTCAGCACTGGCAGGATAAGTGCCTGTGCTGCCAAGAGGGAGATTAGGTGTGGAACCTCGAAGGCTAGAGCCACACCAGTTTCTTTTGCCACATCCGCAAATCTCCCTACTGACTGCTAAGGAAGCCAGAGAGGGAGAGAGAGAGAGGCTTGATTCATACAGGGCCTTTGATTTAAGTGCCTGTGTGCTGTGTTGTGGCTTTGGGAGTAAGATGTGTTCCAGCACACAAAGGAAAGGACATGTTCTAGGAACAGCAGACCTGGATTTCCTGTCCTTAGCACCCTCTTTAAAGAGGGTGTTCTACTTAATCTGCAGGTTCAGTGCCACATGCTTCTCCTGCCCACCCTGTCCCCCACCCCTATTTGGTAAGAGCTCTGTCTGATGCCCAGCAGTCCTGCTTGGCTGCAGCTGCCTGCCAAAATTAGCTGCTTTTAGAGCTGCTGACCTTGGGGGCATGTAAAAACCCATGTTACAAAATAAAATGCCAGATATGTTTTTGCACTAAGAGGACCGCGGTGCCAGGACAGGGTTCTGAAAGCTGAGAATGTCCTGATTTTTTAGCCTTAGCTGAGGAGACGAAGGAGTTTGATTTGCGTGCACGTGTCTGCTTTGTCCCCCTTTAGGATCAGTGGATGTTCTTGGACTGAAGGGTTACGTGGCAGAGAGAAAAGGTGAGAGAGAAGACATGCAGGATGCACATGTCATCTTAAACGATATCACCGAGGAATGCCGGCCTCTGCCCTCCCAAATGTAAGTGGGCCCCAACTGCTAGAACAGCTTCATGGGGATGAGGGTGCTCCAGCTTGCTTCAGCTAAGCCCATGAGATGATCCTTTTTGCTTTGAGCAGGCACTCGCCCTGCCTGTGTTGTGCTGTGTGGTTTGTTACTGGGAGACCTGCGATGAATCATCGCTGGCTGTGCTGCCAGGCAATCCACAGGGCTAGTGTAAACAAATACATTATAGTAATGTACATATTGTAAGTATATATATTATATATATTATATATACATAAGAAATATATATATTGTAAGTATAATGTATTATAACAAATACATTATAAGTAATCAGGCCTTGCCTGGGGGCTTATAAATGTGTAAAGCTCAAACTGTGGCAATGGAGAATGCTGGAAGAAGAGAAGGTGGATGTCAGAAGTCTCTCATTTGAAAAGTTTAAACCTCCAAGCAAAGTAACTCATCTAAGTGTGTTTAAATGGGAGTGTGTGTATTTGAAGGAATGTTCTCAAACATCACCCTGATATTGGACTTAGCTTCTGAACAAATACTGTCTCAAGAGCTCTGTGTGCTGAGGGTTCCGAGTTTCTTGTCTGTAGCGTAGGTGGAACAAGTTTAGGCAGGTACTGTAGGATTGTAGATGTCTGTAGTGCTGGGGAGTTGCAGTGTCCTTGAGGTGAAATGTTTCTCTGCTTTTATGCCAAGTTGTGATCTATATGCTCTTCTGCCCTTCATTTTTTTGCGGAGTGGAAAATTACAAGCAAGTTCTCAGCTCGGTGCTAGAACATGTAAACCATGTAAATGTGAACTCAGACCTGCTACATTTGTGCCTTGGAGAGCAGGCTTTATTTGATCTGGCTGACACAGAGGAATGTTATGGAGAGGAATGTACTCAATCCCACCCTCTGGCTAATGGCCTTTCTTAGCCTCTTTCTGCTACTTTTTGTTTCCTCACAGCACCCGTGTCTCATATTTCGCCGTTTTTGATGGCCATGGGGGAGTCCGAGCCTCAAAATTTGCAGCACAGAATCTGCACCAAAACCTGATTAAGAAATTTCCTAAAGGTGAGAGGAATGGAATAAGGGCTGTAGGACAACCATCCCTTTTTGAGGTGCCACATTGTGGCAGTGGGAAGGGAAACTGATGTGTTTGGGTGTAGTTCTATATTTCCCATCCCTCGTTCCCAGTGGGCTTGCAACACTGCACTGCCTCTCAGGGAAGAGGGCTAGAAGCCTTTTTGGCACAAGGGTGCAAGTAACCCATTGTGAACTGCTAAGTGAGTGTGAGATGTGCTGTTGCCAGTTTTAGCAGTGCCACTTCATGTGTGAAAATACTCCTCTGGTGGAGAGGTTCATGTCGTAAACTCTCCGTACACGCTACTGCACAGATTTCTGGTAGGGTGAGCCCAGGATGTGCCCCAGCTGCTCTGCACAGGGTCTGAGAGATGCACTGAGGTCCACTGAGTGTTGGATGAGCAAAGGGATGGACTGGGATAGGTCAGATATGTTTTGGTTGGAGCTTAGTTGCCGTTTTCTCTGTCTGGCAGGTGAGGTGGTCAGCGTGGAGAAAACTGTGAAGAGATGCCTTTTGGACGCCTTCAAACACACAGATGAAGAGTTTCTAAAACAGGCATCCAGCCAGTAAGTGCAAATGCTTTCTGTGCGTTTGTATTTCTTAGCGTGCATCTCCAAGGTCTGAGTTATGAGCAGGGCAGAGGAAACCTTGAGTCGTGTCTGTGCTTTGGCAAAACTCCACACAGCTCCATTGTGTCAGGCTGTGACTCTGCCAGCTGAGTGCTTGCTAGAATTAGATCACGGCATGTTCTGGTCTTACTCTGTGGTAAGTGGTCTGTAGGACCCCTTAGACTAAAATACACATTCATGGTGAAGGAAGGAAGCAAAACATGTCCACCTCTGTCCTTACCAGGGCATCTTGTTTGCCTTCTTTTTAAAGACTTGCCATGTTGCTAAATTGACTTGTCCCGGTTGACTTGCCTAAGATGGGATCTTAGAGGCCACTGAGCGCAGCTTTCTTTAGAGCTTTGTTTGCCAGGCTGGAGCACATCTCTGAGGTGGCTTTTAATGCACTGTATTGAAAGACCTAACTCTCCCAATGTAAGTTTGTCTTGCTTTCTTGAACTCTTTTGAAAACAGGGATGTTGATGGAGAATGTCCCTCTGTGGGGTAAATGCCAGCCTGCCTCACTGCTGGGTGTGCAGTGCCAGGCACCCTGACCTCTCAGTCTGCCCTGAACTGACACACCAATTGTGTGGACTAGGGAAGATGTAGATTGTATTTAAAATAGTCACTTTGTTACCAATCCTATCCACATTTGCAGGTTTTTTGTTTGTTTGGGCTTTTTTACTACTGTTATTTCATAGTGATACCTCTATCACTGAGGGAGAGACTGTTGATGCATTTGATTCCGAGATTCCATGAAAACTTTCAGTTTAAAGTAAATCGCAGACTGGCTCGGTCTCAAGCCTAATCAGAACAGCAAGTTTGACCAGGCAAAAGGAAGCTTCCTTGAGTCTGTTACAATAGCATCATTCCCAAACCAGCCTCTGGTCAGAAACGTGACTTGTGGCAAAGGCACTACAGAGGATCACTAGTGATAGTTGTATTGACGATTAAATGAATCATCCTCATTCTTCATTCACACCTTCAAATTAGGAGAAACTGGATAAAATATATCTGGAAATCAGTCTCCCAAAGCTGATTTCAGTGAAGAGTGGCATCATGGCTGGGCTTCTTTGTGGGGAAGACTAGTCTGGCAGCTGTAATCTAAGAAATGCTTCTCATTTTACCTAGAGCTCTAGAGATAAAAGCTTAACTACAGCAAGTGAAATACCAGGAGAGCAACTGAGTGAGTGGTGTTGCTGTTGAGGTGAGGTGGGGGGGCAGAGGTACTGTTAAAAAAGGAAGGCAAATGTAAGCAAAAAAGAAGGCAGCTCTGCTGCAGGGCTGACTGTGCCTTCCTTTTGCTGCAAAGAAGGAGCCTCCCAAGGAGGAGCATGGGGTGCTTGTTTGCTTGTGATGCTATAGGTCCTGGGCAGTCATCAGAGCTGAGCCTGCTCTGCTCACAGATGAGGTTTCCTGGGAGCTGAGTGTGAGGAAGGGTTGGGGTGGGTGCTGTGTCTGGCAGTATTTACAGCACCTGGGCATTGGCTGTGCACTCAGAAGTCAGTGCTCTGTGCAGTTCTGCTGTCCTTGTCCAGTTTGCTGTTTACCACCCTGCTTGCAGGCAGCTGCTGGGGGCTTGTGCTGCCTGACTGCTGCGTGTTGGCACTCTTCCTTGAGTCCCCAGGAGCACTCTGTGACTAACTTCTTCAAGAAGCTTTATTCCCCCTTAGTTATCTTATTTTTGTTCCCTTCAGGAAGCCAGCTTGGAAGGATGGCTCCACAGCTACTTGTGTCTTAGCTGTCGACAATGTTCTCTACATAGCCAACCTCGGGGACAGCCGGGTAAGCAGAATGGAGAAGCCCACTGCTGGCAGCTTTGTTCCATACAGAGCTTTATTTGCCCTTAAGGACGAGGTATTTGTGTGGGATGTCCCAGTTGCCATGAGCTCCCCAGCTGTTCCTACAAAGCATCTTGTTTTGAGTGGGTACAGGGTACTTCTGTGTTGTCTCCCATAGTGTAAAATAACTGTGTGTAGAAGCTCTCTCTTGGTGGTGCTAAATATCTCACAGTATCTAGAATAGCATATTTCAGTTGGAAGTGGACAATCATCTGATCCACTGCCTGACCTGTTCAGGGCTATCCTAAAGTTACAGCATTGTCCAGATGCCTCTGGAACACTGACAGTCTGGGGGCATCAACCACCTCTCCAGGAATCTTGTTGCAGTATTTGATTATTTGCTCTGTAATGTCCAGTCTGAACCTCCCCTGGCACAGCTTTGAGCCGTTCCCATCAGATCAGCACCTCCCTCTCCACGTCCCCTCCTCAGGAGGCCGCAGAGAGTGATGAGGTCACCCCTCAGCCTCCTTCTCTCCAAACCAGACAAACCCAGAGCCCTCAGCCTCCTCCCAGGACACGTCTTCCAGCCCTGGCACCAGCATGGTTGTCCTTCTCTGGACACATTCAAGTACCTTCACATCATCTTTGATGATGGGGCCCACCCTGGCACACAGGGCTCCAGGTGAGGCCACACTAGTGCTGAGCACAGTGGGACCATCCCTTCTCCTGCCCTGCTGGCTGTGCCATGTGAGATGCCCCCAGGATGCCTTTTGCCCTCCTGGCTACCACTGGTTCCTACTGAGCTGCTGCCAACCAGGATCCCCAGATCCTTTCTGCAGGGCTGCTTCCCAGCTGTTCCTTTCCCAGTTTATACCTGTGCTGAGCGTCACTTGGTCTTGGGCACAAAATCTGGCACTTGGACTTGTTAAATTTCATGCCACTGACAGCTACCTGGTCTGGATCTATCCAGATCCCTCTGCAAGGCCTGTTGTCTCTCCAGAGTCAACAGCACTCCCAGTTTGTCATCAGCAAACTTGCTAGTGGTACGATCAACTCTTGCATCGAGATCACTGATGGAAGTACTGAACAGCACCTCCCATGGTGGACTGAACCCTGAGGAACACCACTAACCCAATGTAGCCCCATTCACTGCAACTTGGGGCTCTCTCTCCAGTTGTTGTTGCTGCTGTTGTATTGTTGTTTACTTAGGATGGTCTTTTGTCAGCACAGGCGATTCTATGTCGTTACAATGAAGAGAGTCAGAAACACACAGCCTTAAGCCTCAGTAAAGAGCACAATCCCACCCAATATGAGGAACGTATGCGGATACAGAAAGCTGGGGGCAATGTCAGGTAAGTGCCTGAAGGGTGTAAGTGAGCAAAACTAAACCCTGGCCTAATACTAGGCCTGAGCACTGGGTTGTGGCAGTTTCCTGAGCCCAGTATGCATGCTAGTGAGACCCTGGAGAGAATTTGTTGCTGCCTGTGGGAGGCACAGTGGTGCCTGAGGTGTGTAAGGACTTGGTGGTTGGAGTTGGTTGATGGGGGCTGGTTTTCCAGAGGCTTATGATGGCCAAGGCAAGACCCCTGTGAAAGCCTGGCAGTGGGATACCAGCATGGACATGCTTAAGCTTCACCTACAGACTTGGACCTACAGACCTGGACTGTATTGCTGAAGAAGTTAGTGCTTTCTGCACACTGTGATGCTGAACAGAAGTCATTGCCTTGCCTGCAGCATGACTGCTCTCAGCTTGTCCTGTGAGAGGGGGATGGAGGGCATGAGAAGCCCTCGATGTCAGTTGGTGTTGCTCCCCTGAGGTTAGCTGATGCCCTGAGGCTGTCTTACAGTAGGAAGGAGGTTTCTGGAGTGAGAACCCTAATGTTCCTGTGCAAATAGGAGTTTGGGCTCTTTGGGGAGCTGTTGCCAAACACAGCAGCCATGTCTGATTTCCCTGGCTGGGTTCTCTCCCTTCTTTGAAGGCTGTTTCTTGATTTAATGGCATCCTTACAAAGAGAGGATTCAGTGCAGGTGAAGTATTGTCCTGCCTGTGGAGGCAGAATGCCCCCTGGGGTGGGGAGGGGTGGGCTCAATTCTGTCATGCTGCTGTGTCTGGAGCACTTTATTCCCCTTATCTCTGGAGAGCACACGCTGCTGCTTGTGCTTAGCACTGATCTATCTTTGCACACAGCAAAGAGATGGCCTAGTGTCTGTTAGCTTTTTTCAGAACTGGTCCCTGACTGCCTGGGAGCCTCTCCCACTGCTTGTAGTTCAATATTTTGGACCCAAGAGATAAGTCACAAAATGTGTGAGCATCAGATCTCTTCTCTGTGACGTGCCTTGCTTCTTACTTTTATCTCAAGCGGGGCTGCTTGGACTATGAGATGAATGAGCTTGTGTATTCCCAGAGGGCACAGAAGAGCCTTTTTGGGGAGAAGATGCTAGGTTGTTGGAAAGGTGAAGTGTGGGAAGCTGTTTCTATTGGCAACTTGGGTTAATTAAAAAAATTTAGCAAACCAGGCCTGATTCCTAAGGAGGATTGTAACTTGGGTTTCACAGAAGTGGTTGATGCTAAAGGCCAAGTGATCAGGAGAACATGCCATGGTTTTCACTCCTGGGAACTGCCCACAGCCGAGCCAGTCTGTAGGGTTTGGTGTCCTGATAGGCAGGGCACAGGGGGGGCTGCTGTCTCAAATCTGCTCTTGCCTCTGTCACTCTGTGCTTCTACGGAAGTGCAGTTCGCTAGATATCTTGCCAAAAAGTAATCTCTGTGTTCAAACCTATGCCTCTGGGAGTTCAGCTCACATATAACTCTACTTTCTAGGCTAAGCAGGACTTGAGTTAAAACAGAGAGACAGAAAACAGCCTTGAAGTCTCCTGACTTCATTTCCACCTCATCACTCGTTTCCCAGAGCTTCACACAAACATGCAGAAAGGGAAGGAGACTTTGAAGGGAAGATTTGAACTTGCTGGGGAAGTGGGTCACTATCTGTATGAGGCAGCTGAACGCACCATGAAGCGTCCCCATCAGGCAGTGCAGCAAAATACACGTGTGGGGAGGGCTTTCAGTGTTTTCTTTCCCTGTGCAGGGACGGAAGAGTCCTGGGAGTGCTGGAGGTTTCCCGCTCCATTGGGGACGGCCAGTACAAACGCTGCGGTGTTATCTCTGTGCCAGATATCAAACGCTGCCAACTCACACACAACGACAGGTAAAGCTGCCCATGCACTAGGGGTTGGCTGAGTCCCAGCTCTGCTCAGCACAAGTACCACAAGCTGCACAACCCTGTTTGCTCTGCTGTTGGGGCCAAGGCACTTCAGACTGATCCCCAGAATTAGAGGATGCTCTTACTGCTGATGTCTCTCTGCTCGTGTTCCTTATCAGTACAGTGGGATAATGCTGCTGCTCTGCCAAGATACTGTGAAGGCTCCTGTTGGAGGAACCAGCCTCATAGCAGTCACTAGCATACATGAGCCTTAGATGTTCTTTGTGCTCTAAGTTCACACAGCAGTGTTCAAGCAGTTGGTTAACGCTTGAGTTCTCAGAAGTCCATCCTGTCCAAGAGTTGTTTCTAGCAGCTGTAGTGCCCATAAATACCATCACGTTTAGCTCTGATATCTGAAGGTTTGAGGTCCTTTTCCACAGTATGATTGGCAGTGACAAATTGCAGTGAGCATTCGTGTCACTATGGCCCTACAGCCTCTCAGAGGTGAGAGTGTAACCCAGTACTGCTGCTTTTTCTGGGATTAGAGTTCCATATCAAGGGATCCACTAAAATATTTCTAAAGATACCCTGAGTATCAGGCTCTGAAATGATGTCTTCAGAGCTGTGTGCAGGCTGACCACCTCTGTGGGTTGGTTGTAGTTTTCCTTGTCTGGTGATTCTGGTTAGGGCTCCTGGTTAATACAGTTCCATGTGCAGGCAGGGAGTAGTGCACAGTGGGCTGTCTCCCCCATCCTAGGATCCCTCCTAGGATGCTGTCCTTGCCTTGGGCTTTGTATCCCTTCAACCTTATGCAGCCCGTGGCAATACTTTTTGTCAGTTTTCCCATCACAGTTCTGCTGCTTGCTTTTCTTTTGAATGTATGTATTTAAATTATCACATACCTCAGAAGTGTAGAAACGCAAAGGCTTTAAAGCGATGCACACAAAGGATTAAGCTGTGTTTCTCTGTTTCCTTGCATTAGTGGCTTCACAGGGAAAATATGTGAATGAAAGGGACTCAAAGGAAAGAAGCAGCTCTTAGAGAAACAATGGAGCTTTCCAGCAGGGTGTTGGATGTGATCCTGCTGGTGTTGGTAGGACTGCCAGGGTGTCCTGATCTAGGTCACACATTCGTTACCTGGCTCTTTGCCCTGTATTTTGAATTCCCTCAGCTCCATGAATAGTAGGTTCTGAAGGATTTTCAGAAAAGCTTTATGGTATCTTTCCTTTGCATTGGAGTGTGGATGTTCATAAAATAAATTGGAGGGATTTTGCTGTAGCTGGGGAGCCAAAGATTCAGCCTTGGAACCTGTCTCCACTTGATTTCCAGGTTCATTCTGATAGCATGTGATGGCCTCTTTAAAGTCTTTACACCAGAAGAAGCTGTGAACTTCATTGTGTCCTGCCTGGAGGTGAGGAGAATGCAACCTGGGGGCTGGGTTTGGCAGTGCGGGGGCATCACACAGACTTCTACCAGCGTATCCTCCCTTATTCCCCACATTGCCTGTGTTTGTTTTGCTTCCCCAAGCTTGGAAAATACAATTTGCTTGTACCTGCCTTTGCTGGGGGCGGTCAGTGTCATGTTTCCTTGTCTGAACAGGATAAGAACATCCAGATGAGAGAAGGGAAGCTAGAAGCAGACGCTCGATACGAAGCCGCGTGTAACAGACTGGCCAGCAAGGCAGTGCAGCGAGGCTCGGCCGACAACGTCACGGTCATGGTGGTCCGGATAGAGCACCGAGGGATGAGCTGCTGGTCCGGATAGAGCACTGAGGGATGAGCTGCTGGTCCGGATAGAGCACTGAGGGATGAGCTGCGGCGCACGTGAGGAGAGGGAGAGGTCTGTCCGTGTGCATATGTGGCCGAGGGAGGGAGGGTCCTGCTCTTCAGTGTAAATAAAGTTGGGTTTTTTTCTAATAGTCTTAGCTCACTCAGCTAGCAAGGTTTGCTAAGTGGCTGCCAATGTGGGTCAGCCTATGCAGACAGCTCCTGTCAGCCCTCTGTGAATGTCTTGGCAACCACAGTAAACCCATTTGGCAGGGGTGTAAGCAAGAGGCATCTGGGAGCATGAGCTCTGCCAGCTGTTTGAAACGGGGCAGTTCTGCTGTCCATTTCCCTGAGCAAGGTTCTGGGAGAGTCCTGAATTCTTAGGGCTCTGGGGGAGCTCCTGGGCAGACTGTACTGTACAGACTGTTGGTACTGTAGCCACCGGCTTGGGCTGTGGTGTGAGCTGTCCTCTTTGTGCTGGGAAGGAAATCTTTTGACTCTGAAGCTGGGCTGTGAGGTTGCCTGCAGCTGAGGGACACAAACACTGCTTGCAGAGCAGCAAGGTACCTGCCCTCTGCTTGCAGAACGTTTTGAGAGTTTTACCCCAATGCTGATATGGAAAACGTGGCTGGAGTTTGCTTGTGATATTTTTTTGGGAAAAGTGTTTTCAGCATAGACCTGCCAGGCAGCTGAGCTGCAGGCCTGCTCCTCAGGTAGCACAGACAAGCACAGAGCCTGCATCTCAGGTTTTAGGTACTTGTTGCTAATAAATGTCCAGTATCTGATCCTGACCCAGTGCCTCTACCAGCTGTTGCTGCAGACAGTGTGCTGTTTTCCAGAGAAAATTTGGCTTAAGACCAAATGACAGAATGAAAGCTAAATAGATTGGACCAAAGCACTTAAATTTCTGATTATGTAGCTCTCCCATGCCGTGGGTGAACGGGGGCAGGGAGGGAGGAGACCCCCCCCAAGGGGTCTCCGTGGGGGTTACTTGCACAACCTCCTTGCTCTGAGGAGGCAGTTGCAGTCCCAGGGAGGTGGGCAGGTTGATGCAGTGGTATTTGCCATTTTGTGCATAGCCCTGGACAGGGCTGTGAGGCTTCCAAGACTTGTTTCTGTTATCTGTATTCCCAGAACTTTGGGAGATGGTCCCAGATCCTGGGCTATCTGTTTAGTGGAGCACACAAAAGCTGTCCTGTTGTTTGGACAGGTGGGTTGACCATCTTTCATGGATTTCTGCTCCAGCACTAGTTGGTTGACACAGCCTGGCTCAGACTGACTCTCCACATCTCCTGCAGAGGACTGAGGAAGGAACTGGGTGTCTGGCGCAGGCTTTGGGTAGTGCTTGCCCTCTGCCAGCTTGTTCTGCTCCCAGCCATTCCTCTGTACTTTGATATAAGGTTGCACTGCAGGATGAGCTGAGATCCCTTTGTTAGCAACACACTCTGCTGCTTCTGCTCACAAAAGCCAAATTTGGAGAGCCCAGACAGAGTAACACAGAATTACTTCAGACTGTGTAGCAGAAGAAACCCTGATGGCAGATCTCAGAAGAGCAACTTGCCCTCCTTTCTCATCTCTCCCTTTTTCCACCTCGTGCACTGGGGAGGGCTCTGGCCATGCTGTGAGAGCTGAGCCATGCTCCCAGCTCTGTGGCTCCCTCCAGGAGGCCCCTCTGCATTCCAGTGTGAGCTGGTGAGAGGAATGTCAGCTTGTTCTTCTCTGACTGTCTTTCCTTCTACTCCCTCCTCTCAAAATGCTTCTTTCCTTCCCTTTAGGAAGAATTCAGAAAGCACAGCTCCAGTTAGGATCAGAATATGCAGCACTGTGGTACAACAGTGGTTGTTATGGTTAATAATAATTCCTGTAAAATGTCCATTTTTCAGGGCAAAGGGGAAAAGAAAGTGCTGTGGACCAGGTCTCACCATGGTTGGGAGTAGCCAGACACTTAGAAAGGCAGGTTCAGCCCCAGCTTTAGTGGAAGTAAAAAAATTACTTGCTTGAATTTCCTGGTAGGGTGGGGTCTGCAGGAGGTTTCCTGAAAATGCACTTGCCTTGGCTCAGTGCTCAAGCAGCATCCTGCTACAGAGGAGAGCTCCCAAGATCACCCTTCAGGCTGGCCCATGTGCAAGTGCTCTGCATACAGTTCTTCTCCCTTGGAGCTGACTGAGCTTCTGTCCCCTCCCAACAGTTAAATTACCCCTCTAGTACCTCCAAATTAATCAGCTCTTTCAGTTTTGTGTTTGAGTGCACTGGGCTCCTGATACCTCACAAGCACAGGACAGCTTACAGCTGGGCAAGCCCCACTCTTGAACAGTGAGTCCTTTTGTGCCTTTTCAGGTGTGTGTAGTAGGAAGAGAGGCAGCTGATCAGAGTGAGGCTCCCTTGGCTTATCATGCATGGGGACTGGGAGGTGATGCCAGGGCCAACCTCCTCGGCTGGGCAGGAGCTGCAGGGGCCTCATCCCTGCCAGGAGGCTGCTGCCCACCAGATCAGCTGTGGGAGAAGCACAGCTTTGCTTTCAGATAGAAGTTGTCTTTGCCCTGAGGGAGGTCAGCATTCAGACTGTACAGCTGGAGCCCTCCTCCCCCGGTCCAAACACTGTTACCCACAAATTGCTGCAACAGCTACTTCACGAGGCTCCTCAAGGAGATGCAGCCTGTGGAGAAGAGCAGGCAGGGCCAGAAAAGCCCTCCTGAGCAAGGTTTGGCACCGAGAAGGTGCCTCCTCCTGCCTGTGTGCGCGGATCCCTGGGGGAGGGTGGGGCTTGGGTGCAGCTCAGGCTATCTTGAGGTGTTGCTGGCACAGCTTGCCCAGTACTAAGTGCTACTAAGAAATCAAGCGCCCGGGTCCTTCTCCCGCAGCCCTTGCTCGGTCACGTAGCCCTGTGCCCATCTTCAGCTCAGGCAGCTATCAGAGCTGGAGCAAAGAGCATATCTGTGCTGCCCACAGCCTGGGCCCCGTGCCATGGGCAGGGAACGCCTGGCGTGGAAAGCCATGGCACAAGAATTTGCTTTAATCGGATGTGCCGCGTTATTGGGACATTGCTTTAATGATTAATGTGCAGGATGTTTGCTTCTGCCAGCAAACATTCACTGCTCATACACTCCAGGGCAGCTAAAGTGATCCATAATCTGGTTTGGGCTGCTAAGACATTGGGCAGGGGAGGGAAGTCCACTGAGGGCAAAAATGGAGGTGGGGGGCTTTGTCCCAGGCATGGTGGGAGCTGAGCCCTGAGGAGAAGGCAACCATCTGACATCTGCCACTGTCAGCAGCATTTTCCCAGATAAATTTTCAGACCTAGCCTTTAGTTAAAAGTGAATGCCTTTAGGTCCTTGTCAGGCTGTTTTATTATCATCTTCTCCATGATCTTTTGTTCATCCTCAGCTGGTTCTGCAGCATGAGCAGTATCAGACCAGACTGCAGTTCCTGCAAGAGCAAATGGTCTTCCCTGGGCTCGGTGCTGAGCAAGGGAGATGTGATCATGGCTGGCAGAGGGAAGGGTCTGGCTGCTCCTGGCACAAGTTCAGTGCCCTGCCTGGTGCCTCTTCACACCCCCAGCAGAACGGCGCTGAAATCGGAGCCCCTTCGAACAGTGAGGGGAGAGCCTGCAGCGTTCTCCACAAAAACAGAGGCGTACTGCCCGGCCTGGGGGGAGAGAGGGCTTAGCAGGGCTGGGACACCTCCCTTGGGCACCAGGCACGACCTGACAGAGCCAAGGAGAGATCTCTCCCCTGTGCACAGCAGCTGAGAGGTGGAGGTGCCCACACCCTTCCTTCTGGGAAAAGAACATCACAAGGCTTCAGGGCAGTCCAGCCATGATCTGTGCTACAGTGCAGCAGCAGAGCTCTGCCCTGAGTGTCCTTGGGGCTTGGAGAAGCAGACCTGATGCCCAGCCAGGTCTGAGCTGGGGCCACAGAAGGCTCCTTCCTGCCCAGTACTGTCCCCAGTGGTGCTGACACCACTAACCTGCAGGTAAAGGACTCCGGTGACAGAGATGGTGAAAAGGTCACCCCTGCTCTCCAGCCAGGATGAAGTCTCCAAATTTCTGCAGAAGACAGAGGGTGGTGCTGGGGAGAGCATACCCCCTCCTTTCCCAGGGATGCTGGACGCCTTCCCCTCTCCCTGGCCCAGAGTCCCTCGCTGTTCCCTGCCATACCTGTTGTGCTGGCAGCGGGATTGCACACAGATCAGCACACGCAGGCGCGTCCCCCGGCACCCCTGCCTCTTCTTCGGCGGCTCCCTGTGCACTGGGACAGAGCCAGGGGTGAGAGCCATCCCAGACCACCCTGCCAGGGCCGTGGGGCTGCCCAAGGGCTCACCGATGTGCAGCGTGGTGGTGAAGGTGTAGTACCCTGCGATGGGGGCTGTGTACTGCCCGCTGGTCAGGTTCAGCCCTAGGCCACGGTGAAACATCTCCTCCCTCTCAGGCTGGGACAGGGAATGGCTGGAGTTAGAGCAGGAGCCCCTGTGCCTGGGCGGGTGTCCCCGCAGACAGGGAAGAGGGGCAGGCTGGGCACTAACGATGTAGAACAGCTGCAGCTCCTGTCGTGTTCTCTGCTCCACGGAGATGTCTTCGCGCGTTCGGCAGTGGAAGGCTGCGTTCACGCGATGATGGGCCCCGGCCTGGGGGCTGCGTTCTTCCTCTTCCTTATGCCCTTCCCAGGCTGCCCTCTGCACCTTTGCCTGCTCCTTTGCTATTCCTGGCCCCAAACCCCACCGGGGTTCGGCGTTAGGAAAGAACCTCCACTTTTCCAGTCTCTGCCCAGCCCTAGTGTGTCTCGGGTCGCTGTCCCCCCTCCGCTCCCGCCCTGGCCTCCGACCCCCGCCCCGGTACCTCTGAGCAGGATCCGCAGCTCCCTCAGGAGCTCCACGGGCACGGCGGGGGAGGCGGCTGGGGGGTCCGGGGCAGCCCCTGGCACACTGCCCTGCTCCGGGGGCGGTTTTCCCGGAGAGCGGCCGCCCGCCGGTGCCGTGTCCGCCCCCGGCCCGCCACGGGCCCGACCGCCGCTTCCCCGCCCGGGGCTCCCGGCCAGCAGCATCCACGCCTGCCGGGGGTCCACGCCGGCCGCCCCCGGCCCTCCGCGTCCCGTCGCCGCCGCCGCCCATCCCGCAGCTGCTCCCAGGCCCGGCCGCCGCTCCCGAGCTGCCCGCGGGGGTTCGGTGCCGGCGCCGGCGGCACAGAGGAGCGCCAGGCACAGCTCCGACAGCCGCATCCCGCCGCCGCCGCTACCGGGAGGGCGGTCCCGACCCCGCCTCGGACCCGCCCCACTGCCGGGCTTTGCCCTCGGGGCGCGGGGACCCCCTCGCGTTTAAAACCCCGCGTGGCCGTGGGGAGCAGCGCGGGGCTCCTAAAGTGGGAGGTGCCCACCCCGCCCTGGGCATGTTTAACGTTTCTAAAATAGCGAACAACCGAAGGCGGGACAGCTAAGCCGTCCAGCCGTGCTGGCTGTAGGCCCGGCCGACAGGGAAGCGTCGCTTTGTGCTCGCCCATCCCTCTAACACCGGTGCCAGCAGAGACGGGGCTGGGGCAGCAGTCACCGCACCAGGAGCAGGGTGCTGACTGCTCCGCCATGAGCGCAGATCGCTTCCCTGGAGCGCATGCTGTGTCTCACAGGAGAGAAACCAGGATTATGCACCCTGCCACAGGCCACCTGAGGACACAAAGCATCCAAAATGTGGCTTATCTCCTGTCATTCTGTGCCACAGGGCACTGGGGCGAGTCTGACACTTAAATCTAAGCCAAAGAGGGGCTGGAGAGCTTTGGGTGTTGGGCAAGAGATTCCTCTGGTCCCACTTGGGTTTTTCCATGCTGGATGTCAGTGGAATGCGGAAAGAGGCTGTGACCCCCGAGCAGCGACATCTGACTTTGATGGGATGGACCACGCTTTGGGAGGCCATGTAATACCCTAAAAGCTTTAGAGTTTTGGAGGGGGGAAAGGCAGTTAAAAAAAAAAATCGACCAACCAAAAAAACAAACCACAAGCCAAAAGAAGAGAGCATTAGCCAAAGCGTGTTTATAAGGAAAAGCCTTTTCCCTGCAGTGGTGGGGAAACACACTCCTGCTGCCCCAGCCAGCCTGGCAGAGGGCTTTCCATCCCCCCTCACGGGGCTGAACAGGCCGCAGGGAGATGCGAGAGGGGAGCGCGGCCACATAGGGTGATGGGCTCTCCTACCACCCATGGTCACTCTGGAAAGCCTCTGTCCACTTGGAGGTGTCCATGAAGATGGAGGAGGAGCTGTGGAAGAGCCAGAGGCAGGGCAGGGAGCCCTCCCGTGTCCAGAGATCCTTGGCGCAGTCATACACCTCCATTTCTACCCGGTAGTCCCCATCCATGCCCTTCCAGTGGCCACCAGTGACAAAGAGACGGTCGCCCAGTGCCACCATCCCACCGTTCTCATGGAGCACATGCAGGAGCTGCACCTGTGTTGAGGGGCAGGGTGAGATGTGCAGGGACTCCTTGGTGACCTCCCACTCCCACTGCAGAGGACATCTGTCCACCAGATGTGTCTCCCTGCCCCATCCTCTCTGTGAGGTTTGGGGCCCCTGGTGCCTAGTGCAGGAGGGATGGGGGAGCAGGGGAAGAAGGACTGAGGCATCCTCAGCCCCGCAGGAGTTAATAGAGCCAAGGGATGAGTGGGCAGGAGGGAGAAGGGGTGCTGGCACCCGGGGGAGCAGGTGAGAACACCTTCCCCACCTCCCTGGGAGGGTGATTTTGCCTGGCCCCACATCCCACAACCTTTTGCCAGATGTTGGCCTCCGGGTTGTACACGTAGACCTTCTTGGTGTTGTCCCCAATAAGGTAGATGAGCCCGCGCAGGGTGGCACAGCGTGGGGCCGAGAGGTACTTGGGGATGAAGGGGGATGTGATCACACTCCACAAATCTGCAAGGAGCAGGCATTAGCAGCACGTCCCACCCTTGGCTCTCAATGCAGCTGCCAGTGACTGAAAAAAGCATCGCTGAGCCCATGGCTATTTCAGGGGGAATTTGAAAGGGAGGAGGCAGAGTAGCCAGGCAGACCTGCACCCCAGGCGAGGGTCTTGCATAAAAAACAGAGGGAATGGGGACATGGTTTGTAGTGGTGCTGTGGGATGGGGGAGAGGCTACCCAAGGAGGTGGCATTGTCACAGGGGGTTAGTCTCTTCCTAAGGCAGGCAGCCTCCCCCACCCCTATGCCCCAGAGATCCCACTCCACTAAAGCTCGGGTCCAGGCTGTGTCAGATGTCTGTGACTCAGGTCCGTGCTGCCGGCAGCCGTGCTCCTGCTGGAGCCGTGTTCCCTGTGCCGCAGCCATCACTGCACCCTGTTAGCACCTGCCCGCATCCCACAGGACCATGTCTGAAAGCACAGGGGGTCAACTGCCTGGGGTGACCCCCCCTCACCACCCTCCCCAGGACAGTGCTGGTGGGTTGTGGTGGCAGGGTCCACTCTCACCTTGGACAGGGTTGTAGCACTGCAGGGTGAGCGCATTGTACTTGACGGCACAGGAGCCCACCAGGTAGAGCTTGCCCGAGCAGCTGGCGGCTGCAAAATTGCTCACGTACTTGAGGGCTGGGCTGATGGCACACCAGCTCTTGTTGTAGGGGTCATAGCGCTCCACCTCCACCACGTCCACCGTCGTCCCTGCAGGGTGACGGGACGCTGCAGCCACCCCGCTGCTCTGGGGCACCCATGAACCCCCACCCTAGCAGCACCCACAGGGTCTTTGCAGCCTTACCCCCAATGACGTAGATCTCACCATTGAGGACAGCACTGGTGTGGTTTGTCCGGGCTCTCAGCATGGAAGCGATGGGCTTCCAGAGGCCGTCCCTGGGGCAGAAGCACCATGCCTGGGTCGTTGACCACGTATCATTCTGGGACCCCCGGGAGCCGCCTGGGGAGAGACGGGTCAGATGGGCCACTGTCTCTGAGTGCAGCTGTCCCTGGGCATCTCTTGCCAGCATCCGGATTTGCCAAAGCAGGGAGTAAGAAGAGGACTTTGCTCAGAGAGGAGCCTCGGGCCTCATGCTAGTGCCTCGTGCTCATGTTTGTCCTCTACCATCCATCCCTGTTTCTTGAAGATACCCACCCTGCACCAGCAGCCCTAGAACCTACCTGTGACATACACATCGTTGTTCAGAGTCACCAGGGAAAAGCCCCATTTGTTGTAATCAGGGAAGTCGGGCAGAGCCATCCATCGCTCTGAAACCCAGCAGAATCAAGCAATGACCTCCCAGCCAGCAATGGCACTTCTTAAGCCACCCCAGTTTCAACCCCATCCCCCACCTCAACCAATACCCCTCCAAACTGACACTAGTTTGGCAAGAGGTGGTTTTGGGGTAGACAGAGGGTTAATTAACATGGGGGAGAGTGAAGGGGGAGGTGGGCACTTACTACTTTTGGGGTTGTAGAAGGCAAAGTTCCTGGAAGCAGCTGGCATCTCCAGCTCCCTCCCCTCATCTTCACTATCCTCCAGCACGCGGCCACCAACCACCACCAGCACCTCCTCCAGCTTCTGTGGTGGGGTTGGGGCGTTCTTCGGGGCACCAGTGTTGCTCTGCCCCTGATGTAGAGGCCAGAGCAGAACGGTCAGGCTCCTCCCTCCAGGCTCAGGAAGTGGGGTTTGGGGGCAGGGGATACCCACCATGGTGCAGGATCGAGCGACGAGGGCCTTGATGGCATCTGAGTCACGCACAAGGGGCTCAGTGTCAAGTAGGTTCTGCAGGTACTGGTCAGGCAGCGAGACCAGGTGGGTCAGCTCCAGCAGCTCGGGCAGGAACTGAGCTCGGGGCCCCGGGTCGTGGCGTACCCAGCGTAGCACAGCCTCGACCAGGCTACGTTCCTCCTGCACCTGCAGCTGGTCATTGGAGAGGTAGGTGGCCAACCTCTCCTTGGAGAGCTGGAGGAACTCCTCCTGCAGAGAGACGGCTTCAAAGTTCTCCTGCAAGAAAGACCAAGCCTTGGAGGAGACCTCAGGGCAGCCGTGGCTCTCACCGAACTCACAGATACCTAGGCAGTTGGTGGCGTCCATCTGCTGCCGGAGGTAGCGGCTGCAGACCTTCTGGATAGCAGGGAAGTGGAGCTGGCTGGAGGTCCGCATCAGCCCCTCCACGTTGCCCTGGTTGATGGTGACCTTCCCTGTGTAGGCGAAGTTGAGCAGCATCTCCAGTGCGCTGGGATCTACCTCCTTCAGCTCCACCCGCGCCGCGATGCTCTCGGCAAAGTCTCCAGAGAACATGGCATAGAAGTAATGGCTGCAGAGGGCCAGGACGCCACGGTGGCAAGGGAACTCCTGCCCACCCACCACCAGTGTCACATCGGCCAGTTTAGGGTTGGTGCGCAGCTGCTGCAGCCCCTCCAGCACGCCCTGGGCGTGTGAAGGCAGGCAGAAGTCAAAGTCGTCCACATTCCTCACCATGGTGCTGAGGATGGCCGCGGGGCCTGGCAGGCAGCACCCGAGCAGAGCGAGGCGAGGGTTTCCCTGCCAGGAAAAGGCGATAGTGTCTCCCTTTCCCCCTGCCCCGGCACCCCCCTCGCTTTCCCAGCGCCCGAGTCACGATCAGCAGTGGTGGCAGAAGTGCTCCCCGCAGCGCCCCCACTCCCAGGCCATGGTTTCTCCTCCCCACGCCGCAGCTGCCCTGCTGGGGCTGTGACCGGCCTTTTGGGGGTGATTTGTGGCTGGGTTGAGGTCCCCCTGGCGCAGTCGCTCCCGCTCTCACCAGCGCTCCACAGCCCCGGCCGGCCCGCGGGAGGGAAGTGGTCACCGTCCCGGCGCTGGGCAGGGACACGCCGCGCGACACGGGATTAGCCGGGACAGGGGGCCACATGCTATTTTTAGGCAGCACCTGGACACCGCTCCCTGCTCTTAAAGGCACCGCACGGGCAGAGCCGTCGCCCCGCGGCGTTGCTGCCTTTAGTAAAGCCTCCCCCTCGTGCGGGGGTCGGCTGGGCACCGTGCCTGGCGGTACCCGCTCCCACAGCAGCCCCCTCCGCCCTGTCTGTAGGCGGGGATCCCCGCGATGCCCCTCCTCGCTCCCCCGGCCGGGAGTGCCGGTGCCGGTGTAAATATAGGCCGTTATCTCACTCCGCGACGGCCGCAAACACGCGGCGGCAGCCGGGGACCGAGACACCCGACCCGGGGGAGGGGGGGATCGAAATGCTGGGGCGAGCCCCCTCGCTCAGCAGCTTTCTCCATCGCCCCGGGAAACTTCGCTCAGCTAGAAGAGAACCGAGAAGGTGTTTATTGCATCCCGCGGCCTCCACAGCACTCCGCAGCCCGCCTCCAGGCATCACTCCTCCAGGCTGAAGATCTCGGCCTCTTTCTCCTTCCAAAAGGCGAAGCTGCGATCGATGTATCGGCAAATCTCCTCCCCCTCCTCCCCGGCCTCCCCCGGCCTCTGGGCCGGGCTCTGCGAGGACCCGAAGTACCGTGCCTTGATGTCGTCGAAGCCGTCGCGCCAGCTGCGCCTCCCAGCCGCGATCTCGTCGGTGACGGCGCGGTGGAAGGCGCGCACCGCCCGCCAGCCGTGCCGGCCCAGCTGCTCGAACACCTCGAAGCAGAGCAGGTGGCGGCCGCGGCGCTCCTCGGGGGGCAGCTCCTGTTCCAAGATGCGGAAATAGCCCAGCATGAACATCTCCAGCGACAAACTCTCGTACTCGGCTGGGCCGCCCCCCGCCGCCGCCACGAACTGCTCCGGTGACAGCAGGGCAGGGGCGGGGGGCGGCGGCGGGGGGCGGCGGCAGACGGCATCCCGCCAGGAGCCCAGGAGCCTCTGAATGGCCGCCCGCTGCCGCTCCAGGCGGGCCGCCCCACTCCCCGCCGTCTGCCGAGGGTCCCCGGCGGGCCGGGGGGGCGCGTAGGCGGAGCGTCTCCAGTGGCTCAGGAAGAGCATCACGATCCGTTCCTTCCTTAGGCTGCCGCACACCGGCCCCGGCCCCGGCCCCGGCCCCGTGCCGCCGCCGTCAGAAAACGCCTCCTCGCAGCTGATGCCCGAGTCGCTGGCGGCCTCCGCCTCGCCACCCCCGGCCGGCGCGGCCCCCGCCGCCCCCCAGGCGGGCTCGAAGGCGCCGCGCAAACTGCGGACGCAGACTCCACATTGCCGGATCTCCCGCTGCGCCAGGCTGCCCGCCGGCTCCCGGGGCTGCACGCCGGCGGCGAGGGGAGCGGGGTCAGCGACAGGGGCGGCGGCGACAGCGCGGGACCCCCAGACCCCCTCGACGTGGCCCAGCAGCGCGGCCAGGCTGCTGACGGCGCCGGCCAGGCGGCCGCACCAGAGGGGCAGGGGCTGCCCGGGGGCGGGCGGGGGGCTGCGGACGGAGATGCTGAGCAGCGGGGCGGGCAGGAGGGCGCGTAGCTCCCGCGCCAAGCGCCGCAGCTCGCCCTGGTACACCTCGCCGCGTCGCCGCAGCCGCAGGCTCTCTACCGCCCTCTCCAGCTGATGCAGGTCCGCCTCGGTCAGCAGCTCCCCGAAGGGGCCCAGCATGGCTTGGTGGGAGGGCGAGAAGCTCCATGCGGCTGCATCCTGCGGAGACAGCAGGTTAGCGACCCCTGACCGCCCGCGCCCCCTCCCCGCCCCGCGCCCCTCCTACCTGCCCTCCCGCCGCCTCGTCCCACAGCCGGGCCCGCAGCCGCCGCACCATCACCTGCCGCTTCCACTCAGGGATGAGCCGGCCCCGCTCGTCGTGCGTGGGCACAAGGGAGTCCACGTCCGCCTCCGCGGGGTCCGACCCGGGGGGTCCCGCCGGCCCAGCCACCCCGTCCTGCGCGGGTCAGAGTCACGGGGGGCTCGAAGGGCTAAACGGCGGTCGAGAGGACGAGCCGGGGCCCGCGGACCGAGCCAGCGACCTACCGGGTGGGCGAGGAAGGGCGCCGGGATCCTGGCCCGCTGAGAGGGCTTGCGGAACTTCAGCTCCGCCGGCACCGACCTGCTGGGGTCCATCCGCCGGGCCGAGGAGCTGCGGGGGACAGAGACACGAGCCTCCTCCTGAGGCAGGGCAGCAAGGGGGCGTGGGCCCCAACATCCCCAGGGCCCCCCAGGCATGACCGGCTGAGGGGTGACTCGACACATCACCCCACTTCTTGCAGGGAACCCTCCCCGGGGGAGACCCACAGGTGGGTCTGCTTCCTTCAGAGAAGAAGCTGAGGAGTCCCCGTGGCCCCTTTCCCCCAGGGATGCACTGGAACACCCCTGCAGCCAAGGGCCGAGCCCAGGGCCACCTCATGGCCACCAACCCTTCTCCGGACTTCCCATCCCCCCGGCCTGCCCTCCCTCTCTCTGGAGTGATGGGCTGGCATTCTCTGGGGACATGCCCGCTGCCCCAGCCCAGCGGGGTCTTACCTGCTGCGGGGGGCTGAGCTGGCCGCTGGGGACCCCTGCCGAGGTTAGGGGGTCTGGTCCTGCCTGCCCTGCTCAAGGAACACCCAAAAGTGGGTGCAGCTGCACCCCCAAAGTCCCTGTGTGTGGAAGAATGAGCAATACGGGGTATGAGGGGAGGCCAGAGTGGTAGGGCAGCCCTGGAGAGGGCAGGGGCCAGGGCTGCAGCGCTGGGGCAGGGCACAGAGGCATTGAGCGTTGTATTAATATTTGATGGGGCATCGAGTGGCAGCACCGGGGCTCAGTGGGTGGAACTGGCAGTGTTCCTGGAGATAGTGGCTCGGTGACTTGGCTCCAAGCCTTGTCCTGCTCCTGGGCCAATGGAGAATGGCTGAGGCTGGGGACAGAGGAAGGCTTTTGCATTGGCTGGCACTGAGAGCAGGTTCTGGCAGTGGGCGGGGGATCTTCAGCAGAGGGACCTGCTGTACCACTGCCTGGGCATCTGTTACGGACATTGAGCCATGTTCGTGTTCTTCTCCTCCACCGCCATCCATTATATATGGCCAGGACAGACTCGTGGGGCTCACTTACATGTGAGAAATTCAATCAAGGGGCTGGAATAAAATCAAGAAGCAGCAGATCACAGCCTATAAACACAGATGGGCTGGCAAGGATCCATTACAGATTCAGCCTCTCAATCCCTCCCTGGCTTCAGTGCGGGCTGACACTCGGCTCTCATGCGGGGATGAGCCAATACCATCAAGCAATAGAGCTGCAGCACCAGTGCATGTTATGCTTTGCTGTAGGAGGGGGGGAATTTGCTGAAAGCCCTTTGGCAGGTGGCTGTGCCAGGGCTGCCTCCCCAGCCTGGAGAGCTTCCCCCAGGAAAACAGCCCTCCACAGTGCGGGGGTGTGCAGGACCACAAGAGGAGAGGGGAAGGTCTGCCCCAAACCTCCATGTCAGACTCCTTCCTGACCATGGTCCTCAGGAAAGCAGACACCAGCCCCTTTGGGATCTGCTCAAAGAGTCCCAGAAAATTCTCCCCTTTCCATTTCCCTTTCCTTTTTCCTTTTCCCTTTCTTTTTCCCTTTCCCTTTCTTTTTCCCTTTCCATGCCTGTAGAGATGAGCAAAGTGGCACAGAAGCTGTTAGGGATGGGTCCTCTCCTCTAGTTCCAACATCTACATTCCTCCCTCTCTACTAGTTCTTCAGCCATATCCCAGTCTCTCTCTCCAAGTTCCCACAGCTGTAGCTTTCCCTCTCCCACAGCTCCCCCAGTCCTGCAGCAATGAGTAAACGGGCAGAGGAAACCAGGCAAGGCCCCTGTCAGCATCACATCTTTCATTTCAGGGGGGCCCTGGAGGCATGACTTCAAATGGGATCAAGGAGAGGCAGCGCACATCCCCTGAGCCCAGCTCTTCCTCCTACACCCTCTGTGGCCACAATGGACCTTCCTGCTTGCTCTGTCCTGCTCTTCCAATGCTCTCCGCACACAACATAGGGGCATGGGAGGATTCTGCTCCCTATCCCCACTGGAGAATCTCCGGTGACATCCCCAGGACCCACACCCTGAGCACCACCGGGATCCCCTAGGATAATGCCAGTGCACACCTGGGACCCCTGCACACGGCAGCCCCAGGATATCTCTGCAACCGCCCCTTCCAGGCCAAAGGGAACCTGGGAGTGCGGCAGATGGGAGCACAACCATGCCAGCCCCAAAGCACAGCCTGCCCACAGTCTCCAGGCTGGCACAGCCCAGGGGCATGTGTGAGGAGGCAGCAGGGTGGGAAGTTGGCACTCCTGGGGAAACCCCTGCAGGGAGGGGCAGGAACAGCTTGGGCTTCTTCAGAGGAGACCCCCTAAATACGAGGCCCAGCCCGGCTGGGGCCGCTTCTCCCACGAGCAGTGCAGGCAGGTGCCCTTTGGCCGGTGGCTGTGCCAGGGCTGTGCCAGCCTGGAGAGCCTCCCCATGTCCCTTTCCCCTTTCCCTTTCCCCTTTGCCTTTGCCTTTTTCCTTTCATCTTCCCTTTCTTGGCTGCATCTCCATGGGGATGAGCAAAGCAACACAGAACTACCAGGAAGGGCCATTCTCCCCCAGTTCCAACATCTACATTCCTCCCTCTCTACTGGTTCTTCAGCCATATCCCACCCTCTCCCACAGCCGTATCCCACCCTCTCCCACAGCTCCCACTCCCCCAGTCCTGCAGCAAGGAGCAAATGAGCAGAAGAAACCAGCTGAGGTTCGTGGGGTTTTAATTCAGAGGTCCCATGGAGGCTCCGGTTCAAAGGGGATGAAGGGGAGGCGGCGCACGTAGTCCCCCGAGGCCAGCTCTTCCTCCCGCAGGTGATGTCGTAGGGGGATTGTGACTCTGGTGACATCCCAGAGCTCCCAGGGGCACACTCAGGGTGCAGCCACGACCTCCCCCGTCCACACAGACAGAGCCTGTGACAAAAGCCCACCCGGCAGCGGGCTGCACACCTCGGCGTTTGCCCAGCTCCCTTCCAGGGCGGTCCCTGCTGCTGGTGGGCTTGTGCCAGCATCGCACTGAGCAGGACCCACTCTGCACAGCTGGTTTCCAGGACGTGTGTCCTGCTGCCTGGGGCTCTTGCTCCCCAGGGGAAGGACTCTGCTTGTGCCTTGGTTGAACTTCCAGAGGCTCTGTCAGCCCCTTTCTCCAGCCTGTTGAGGTCCCCGTGGGTGCAATGTCATCCTCTGGTGTCTCTGCAGCTCCGGCCCACGTGGGATCCTCAGCAAACTTGCTGAGGGTGCCCCGGGCCCCATCATTCAGGCCGCTGGCGAGAAGGCAGAGGAGCAGGCCCAGCACCGGCCCCTGGCCTACAGCCCTCACGCTCAGCCGCCATCTTGGCTTCACGCCGCTCATCCACACCCTCTGCTTACAGACCCGCAGCACCAACAATTAACATGAGTTCTTCTCAGGCAGATACTATTTGCAAAGTTCGGCCTTCCCTAAGCCTCCTCTTTCCCTAAACTCATGACAAATGTCTGGGTGATCATTCCTTGTCCCCAGTGAGCCCCACCCTGGGCACGACCGGGATCCCCTGGGGTAGCACCTCTGTACCCCTGGGAGCCCTGCCTAGAGAGGCCTCAGGATACCCCGTGACTGCCCCTTCCTGGCCACATGGCACTGCCTGGGAGTGCAGCAGATGGGAGCACAAGCCGTCCAGCCCCAAAGCTGGAAGGACTCAAAGGGTTGGAAGTCTATACTTTGCATCCCACCCTCTTGCATCAGTTGGTGCCTTTCATTTGCAAATTTTCATCAACACTGAAAAAGCATCATAGCAGGATTGCTTAGGTTGGTTTCATCCTTCACCTCTGCCTTGTGAAACTTAGTTTTGTCCCTGACTCCATCTGAAACATGAACAACTCCTGTGGATGCAACAGGAACAAACATCTGGATAGCAGCTGTTGTGAGTGAGAGAAAAAAGAGTGGCAGCTATAACTAGGAAGTAGTTTGAAAAAGCATTTTGGAATAAGTGCATATAAACCTTGATCTACGGAGCCTTTCAAGAAGGAGAGGACATTGCATTGAAATCATACACCACAGTCATGAAAAAGAAGAGGAATGAGTTGGATGTTGGTCACCCCGTTTTCATCTTACCAGTTTGCACTTTTCTCCTGAGCTAGTGAGGCCTGTATAAGGAATGTGAACAACTTCCAGCTTTACTCCAAAACTAAATGTGATCCCATTACGCCCCCGCTCTTGATCAAGGCATACGTCCCAAAAACTCCAAGAGTCATTACAGAACTGGGAGATAGCAGTGCTAATTTAATTCTTTTCCCTGTCTCTGAACCAAAAAAAAAAAAAAAGCAGATGCAGTGGAAATTCTAGAATTGTGTAGTCTAGATGATGGAAGGGCTGCCTAAGCACTGATGAGTTTTACTGGCTATGCTCCTGATTTGTCAGCCATAGCCTAGTGACATAGTTGTGGGCAGCTCAGATGTGCTTTTTGGGTAACATGGTCTTTCTGTGTGATAAAAGATTAAAAAGATAAAGATGCAATCAAAATAATTTTGAAATTATTATTTGCTAAATTTTAAAATAGATGTAAACTATTTATTTCCAAGGTTCAGGATGATTGGTCTGGGTCACTTAATAGGAAGAACAGCATTGATTTACTCTGGAGCAAGTGCATGTTGAAGCGTGAATGCCTAAACAAGAGATGGAAGATGCTGGGAAGTAAAAAAATGACATTTAAACCACATACAGTAGGTCCTGTGTTTTCCTCTTAGAAGTTGCACACCATCATATGAAATTCAAACCATTTTATCCAGGGAAAAGAATAGTTGTTCTAAGAGTAACCCCGAAAAGAGCTTTCAGGACACGAAGCTTGAGTACAGATCAAGCTCCAAAGAGCACTTAAACCCAAAAGAGCCCTGCTTTTTGTGCTCTGAGAACATTCTGCTTACAAACTCTATAAAATCCTGCTTACTTGAATATCGTCCAAGTAGCTCTGAACACAGGGATCCCTCCATCCTCAGACAAGTAGAATAAATTATGCTATTTATTTATAAATAAATGCCTCTCAGAGGGTTGTGCCTACTGGACCGGATGGGGGGAAAGAGCCAGCTACTCCCACCTCCTGCTTGGTTTTCAGTGCAGTCACAGCAGTTCCAGCATGTCGAGCACTGCCTGCTCTGGAGTGGAGGTGGTGCCAGCCCTGGGAGGTGGTGCCAGCCCTGGGAGCAGTGCTCAGTGGAGGGGGAAACACTGAGCAGTGCTCACTGGCTTGGGGAAAACAGCTCAGGTCAGAGGTTTTCCTCTGGTTTCCAAGGGGCATGTGCTTTCCAAGGGCTGTGTTCCACAGGGGAATGCCACCCTCAGCCTCAAGCAAGGAATCTTAAAATACTTTTTCTTGGCAAGTTAAATAACAAAAGCAGTTCCTAAAGGATTTTTATGGCTTATGGAATCTGCTACCTTTGAATTACAATGCCAACGGCTATCAGCATAAAGCCAAAGCAGATGAACCGTTCAACCCTGATCTGCTGAGCACCTGAAGCAGCCGAGATGTGGCTCTGGCTCTGGCACGTGACTGTGCAGAGCTGAATTAGAAGCCAATAAGTGAACACGGAAAGTAAGATGTCAAGGGGAGTTCACAGCAAACTGTGCATAGGCTTGAGAACCCAGCACTGAGAACAGTCACGGACCTGACCTTCTCTCTGAAATAATAAGGGCGCCTTTGTGAAACTGGTCTTGGATGCCTGCAAAACCCTCCCGCGCTCTGGTAGGTAAGCCAGAGGTCCGACTGGGAGAAGTGGCCATCTGCTGCTAAGAGCATCTCCCAGGCAGTGGGAGGCCAAGTTCCAGATCTGCTGTTTCCCACACCCCGAGAGGTGCCCCAGCCCCAACCCCGCGGCCCCCGCGCCCTGCCGGTACCCGCCGGAGGGCCCCGCTCTGCCCGCCCTGCCCGCCCTGCCCGCCCTGCCCGCTCTGCCCGCTCTGCCCGCTCTGCCCGGCAGTGACGCGGAACCGCCGCAACGGCCGCGCCGGGGCTGTTGTTGGTAACGGCCAAGATGGCGGAGGCGGCGCGGCCGCCCCTGCCCGACTCGGTGCTGCTGCAGGTCCTGGCGCTGCTGCCGCTGCGGGACCGGCTGCGAGCGGCCAGGTAGGGCCCCCCCGGCGCCGGCACCGGCCGCCTTCCGCCTCCCCGCCCCGGCGCTGACGGCTGATCGCCTCCCCGCAGGGTCTGCCGGCGGTGGCAACAGCTGGCGCAGGACCGAGCGGTCTGGACACATGTGGATCTGAGCCCTCACCGGGTACGGGCCGCCCGTCCCACCGCTGTGGGCAGGAGCTGAGGGGAACGGGGGGATCACCCCCCGCGGGCAGGAGCTGAGGGGAACGGGGGGATCACCCCCCGCGGGCAGGAGCTGAGGGGAACGGGGGGATCACCCCCCGCGGGCAGGGGTGCCCCTCTCCCGGCCCACCCCCTGCAGCCAGGCCCTTTCCCCCCGCAGATCACCCGCCGCACCCTGTGGCACCTGGTCCGCCACCGCCTCCCTGACAGCCTGTGCAGCCTGCGGATGCGGGGCACGCCCCGCTCCCTCGGCAAGCAGCGGCTCCTCTCCCCGGCACTGCTGGCTGCCCTCCGCAAGCACTGTCCCCAGCTCCACCGCCTGTGCCTGACCGAGACAGACCTCCGCCACGTCCCTTACGAGAGCATCCCCTCTTCTGTCACCACACTGGAGCTGAACCTCTGCGACATTCCCGATGCCTGGTTCTGCGTCTCCCCTTTGGTGCCACCACCACAGGTACAACACCTTGCTATCCACAGCATTCCCACCTTTTCTGACCATCACCTTCTTGACATTTCCTCACAGAACCACCTGAAGACACTGAGCCTTTGTGGCACCTACCGCATCACTGATATGGGGATCCAAGCAGCAGCTCCACACCTGGAAGAGCTGGAACGCCTGATTCTCCGCCACTGCATCATCGGTGATGCTGCCATGGTATTCATTGGGCGCCACATGAAGCAGCTCCGCTACCTGGAAATCAGCAATGCCTACTTCCTGACAAACAGGGGGCTGGTTTCTATTGCAACACTGGAGCACCTGGAGACCCTGTGCCTCGACCTCTATGATTTGGTCTCCCTTGGTACTGTTATTGCTTTGTTGCAAGTGCTGCCTCGCCTGAACCACCTCAAATTAGGCGGAACTTGCTTTGAAGATGAAGTCCTCCATAAAATTCAGGAGAATTTTCCACATTGCGCCATATCTCACACTCCTTGACAACCTGCAATGTTATCCTTCCTTTCTACACTTGAAGTGCTCCTTTTTTGGATAAAGCCTGATTTCTTCTACATAGTTTTGAGACAGAATTCTCATTGGCCTTAAAACATTAAGTTTTTCATGTAAATACGTTAAGCTTGTCACGTAAATAAGTTTGTTACAAAATTTTTGGTAGGGTTTCTCCCTCCTTGTTTTCCATGGAGGAATAGGAAAGATGGGAAGCACATTGAGCCTCTGGGAACCCCACTGACCAAAAACTGGCTGGGGGGATAACTAGTTTAAACTCTGTCTTCTCTTTCTCCACTGCTGAGGATCAGGCAGCAGCTTAACGAGGGCAGAATTCAAGGAGCAAAGTGAGGTTCCCCTCCTAC